AGAAGATATACGCAAATGTTTGTAATTAACATTTTCATCAATTTTTACTAAGACAAGTGGGGGTCAAAATGAAGTTATAATCAATTTTTGATGGGGTGGAGTATCCCATAAAAGGCCCCCATGTACTTATTAATCAGACCATGTGAAGAAGTGTGGAACACGTATTTGGCAATTTACTCATCAAATGTAGAGGAGAAAGCCATATTTCATGGAAACTTCCCTTCTCAGCAAAAAATATTTATTTTTAATTAATTAATAACATATAAAAAGAAAAATCTTGGAGTGCAGACAATGACAACAACCCTTAGTCTTTTGGAGGACAGGAAAGTCACATAGAGGAAGAAAGTGCAATATGTAAACTCTAGACAAGGAATAGAAAACATAATTATGAACCCAAATTTCGGGCAAAATCGACACGAAGAGACAGTAATAAGTAATAATAGATGGCAAAAAATTTCAATAGGAATGAACAATACAGTTCCGTAACGGGACTGTACCATTATCCGAAGAATACAGCTAATTAAGTTAAATCTTGGGAACAAAAGACTCCAATTGTCCCTTTGCATCACAAGAGGCAACCAAAGCAATAAAAGAAAAGCTCAAAGCAGCCTTACAGTAAGAGTAAAAAGGTTAAAGCCCAAATGGACTATTCACCAAAAAGCTTCATATTTCAACAAACCATTTGAACAATACACATGAAATTGTCTGCTTTACTGCAACTAAATTAACACAACATGTTTAAGTTGCTATTATTAAACGACAAGAAAAAGTGGGTGTGATGTCCCATCTTAGGATAAAAGAGTTTGAAAATGTGAGAGAGAGAGAGAGAGGGCCTTTATCAAATTCAAATCAAAGAATTATGCAGAAGCCATGTGTACCCTATCATCACATCTTTATAAGATTAACCCATCAAGCAAAAAATTAACAAATAATAATTGCCTTCATTGACCCTAATAAAGATCTACTAAATCCCTAGTTTCTCAACAGACTGTAATTGAAGTGAATAAATTCAAAATCCAAGTATTAGGGGATTAACTAGTTTTACAGCATCAATTCAACAACATAAACTTTGACAAGGAAATTTAGTTGTTACCTCAATAGGAGTAAGCCGCCTAACGTAAAACATCTCTGCAGATTCAGGCACGCCCCCGACCGTCCTGCGGATCCTGCGGCAAACGTGCGAATCCCTAATGCAAGAACTGATTTTGGACCAGTACTCCGGGCTGCCGACCCGATCCGCTAGCCATCCGGAGTAGTCCCCAAGAGAGTAGTCCTCGTAGACCCGGTTGAGGACGGGGCGGCCGGAGCCCCGGTCGGTGACGGCGTAGGCGAAGATGACGAAACCGAGGAGGGCGGCGACGATGAAGAACATGGCCCAGAGGTAGAGGTAGAGGAGGAAGTTGTTACGGTAGCAGGAGCCGGCGAATCCGGCGAGGGAGACGACCATGATGGCGACGCCGATGACGATGAGGGGCCACTGGAGGAACCTCATGCAGTCGGTGTTGTTGGCGCGGCTGCTCAGCCATATGCCGCCGCCGAGGATGGGGATGGAGAGGAGGAAGGTCAGGAAGTTCAGGAAACCGATTAGGTGGTTGCTGGTTCTCATGGCGAGCGGCGCGTGTGTTGGAAGGGGAGCTGAGGAGGTGGAGTGTGACGGTGTGTGTTTCTATTGGGAGGCGATAAGTATGACGTTTTTATTAAGACTTTAAGCTTTCCTGCTTATTTTATTTTAGCAATTATTGCGCCTTTTTTCCTGTATTTCGTGTTAAATGACACAAGTGACCTCCACAGAGATCATATGAATCTATTTTGAAATGTTCAGTGTAGAGAAATTAAATAAATCATATAATATATAATAGAAATTGTTTTAAAAAAAATACTTCTACACCTATAAAACTCGAGATACTTTTGACGTCACATAGAAGTTTTTGTATCATGTGACAATAAAATAGACAATCAATTCATAGACCGTTAAGGATGTTTGGATATAAAACTATCTCAAAAAAATTCAATCATTTTTTACCAATCAACTTTTTTAACTCAATTTTAACACAATCTCACTATCATCAATAGTTTACTATAATTAAATAACTAGTGTACTACCTGCACAGTGGAGTTTATTCCTCAAACCTTTTTTTTTTCTAAACTATATTTTAAATATTTTTTCTTAAAAAATAATCATTTGATTATAATGAAAAAAAAAGAGAAATACAAAATATAAAAAAATATTATATATTATTAAACACTTTTTTTTGTAACACCCCTATCTTACTAATATCATAGTCAATTTTTCACAAAATCTTTTAGATTAAAACTTATTAATTTGTGAAATCTTAATCGGGATGCTACTAAAAACCTATCTGTTCTGAAAAACCCGTTATCTTTTATGAGTCTAGATGTAAAGAAAATGGATTATTTTTTAATCAAACTAGCATGTAAGACTTCACAAAATTCGACTGGTAAAATCGGAACAAAAACTGAAAACCAACATGCAAGTTCGAAAAACTGTAAGTGTCAGCGGAAGTAAAAGCGTGGCAAAATATATACAATAAAAGTCCGCAAAATGGCATCTAGCTGAATCCACGACCACGAACCACCAGCTGAGCTCACACCTCTGGACCGGCCCTGTGATATGAAAAAGAGAGAAGAGTGGGAGCGTGAGCACTAAAAGCCACTGTGCTCTGCAGAAATTCATACTAAAGTAAACAACAATAATAATTGCAATATCATGATCAACAATATATATAACTGAAACTGATACTGATACTGATACTGAATCTGATACTGAATCTGAAACTGAATCTGCCGGCAATAGCTGAGCCGGAAGCTATGTGCACACTCTAGTGGGCAGATTACGGCTATCTGAGCCAACACTAGAACTTAGGATGGACTTACGGTATCTGACCACCACTCTAAGCGGAAACTGAATATATATACCTCGAACATGATATCTGTAATTATACTCAATGTAATACTCAGTCTGAGTCCCCACCTGTACTGCTAGTTTTGAAAATGTAAGTGTTGATTGGTTGCTGACTGCTCAAACTGTAAAAATATATAAATAAACAAATACTAAGTATTATGCTCAGACTTACTAAAAATAGCAGCTGAGATGCTCGACTCTAACTGATAATTTAACTGGATTTACTGGAACAACCTAAGGTTCTATTTTAATTGATTTTAAATCTGGACTTAACTGGTACTGCTATACTGGACTGACTAGGCTCGGAAATTAACTGAAAATCTAAAATAAACTTGAACTGGAAAAATAAGAAATAAAATGCTCGGATAACCGGTCTAGACCAGCTGGTTCACTAACTGGCCGGACCGCCGGCTCGCTGTGGTCGGGCGGTCGGCCGCTGACTCGGGCTAACTAGGCTCGAACC